GTACGTAGGAATGGTATGATCCTTCATTCCTTTCTTCGGAGCTTCGTATCGTATCGTACGTATCCTTCTAATACAGTACGTACGTATCCGTTGCACAAAGGATGATGAATTCTAGTGACATTGTTGTGGTCCTTGAGTGCGTGACATCTTTATTCTTATAATTATCATTCTTACACACTTAAAAGAGTAAACATAATCTCATGCACTCTAGGTTTTATTTTGGTGCACCAATCTGGGCTCCCCCAGCTCAAGACTTACAAATTTTTTAATCCTCATTTCCAAAAAATACTACTACTACTAGTAGTAGTAGTACTAGTATGTGTTTGCATACACCATACTTTTGACACACATGAGCCTGCATGAACCAAAAATCTATGTATTCGTGTCAAAAACACATACTTCTATGTGTGCTGCACGACTGAAATCTAATTCAATTTTTATAATCTACCGGTATGGTTATGGGAATGACCCGTTGTGTCCTGATTGCACTGATAGTAAGTATAGTACGTACTATATGTACCTTCTTGCACTGCGTGCTCCTCACTGTACGAGTAAGTTGTCGGCATCTTTTTCTTTTGTTTTGTCTGGCCGTCTGTCTGGCCGTCTGTTCAAATATGGTAAGCGACTAACCAACCACAATTTTTGATGTTTCAGTATTTCGCATTACTTTACGAACAGGATGATGATGGAAGATGAGTACCGTATTGTGCCGTACAGTACCTTACTGTGATGTTGACTCTGTGAATCTCAAAATTTTTTGTTCGAATCCACACGACAGAAATCAAAACTTGATAAATGGTCCTTACTTTGATCCATTTCTCATCATCAAAGACGAATATATCCTGTTGAAAACAAGAAGTGAAGAGGAGGAATTTTCCAAAGTGCAAGTAGAGCCTTTACTGGTTTCGTCGTTTGCCTTGTCATGGAGGGCGGGGATCTCATCGAAAACCACCGCCACAAGCAAAAGAAGGAAGGCCGCGGTGCGAAAGAGAGAAAGAAAGATGATAAGGCAAAAAAGGAGGGAACGCGAAAGGAACGTCACAATCACCGAGCGTTTTCGGTCGCGAATATAGTTCGGACGCAGCGGACGATTCAACGAAATCTAGACAGATCACAAAAAAAAGAATATGTTCCCCTAACGGACCGTCGTTCCATTGATCCGAACGAATCCCCGCCGGCCCTAGTCGTCGTGATGGGACCCAAGGGTGTGGGAAAGTCCACTCTCATTCGTTCGCTCGTAAAATTGTACACAAACCACAACCTGACTACCGTAACAGGACCGATTACGGTTGTTACCTCCAAGCACAAGCGAATTACACTGCTGGAGTGCTGCAGCGACGACACCTCGGCCATGTTGGATTGCGCTAAGATTGCGGACCTTGTATTGCTGTGCGTAGATGCTAAGTTTGGCTTTGAGATGGAAACCTTTGAGTTTTTGAATATTTTGCAAACGCACGGATTCCCGAAGGTCATGGGGGTCTTTACACACCTCGATCAATTCCAGACGGCGAAGAACTTGCGCAAGACGAAAAAATTGCTAAAGCATCGGTTTTGGACCGAAATTTATGACGGTGCAAAGATGTTCTACTTTTCGGGTGTCATCAATGGAAAATATTTAAAGAACGAGTGCAAACAACTGACCTTGTTCATCTCCAGAGTCAAGGTAAGGGGAGGAAGCAATACAGAAACATGTTTGAAGAATTGAGAGAATGCCGCGAGGCCAAGAATGTTTTTCATTAGAATAGCAAAAAGTTGAAATTTTCAAAACTCCAACCACTTCCTACAATGTCTCATTTATCTTGTACCATTTCGGCCACCCTGCTTTCTCCAAATTATTTCTCCGATCGTAGTTCCGTCCCCTCACGTGGCGCAATACACATCCTTACGTGTTGGTCGACAGGCACGAAGACATCACGCACCCTAACGAAACGGACAAGAATCCTGATTGCGACCGGAGTGTGACTTTCTACGGATGGGTCCGAGGAAGCCACATGAAGAAAGGGACGAAGGTGCATCTCATCGGTGTCGGTGACTACAATATGGCAGAAATTAGCCCACTTCCTGACCCATGCCCGATTCCTGACAAGGAACAAAAATCGCTAAAGAAAAAGGACGCCTTGCTGTTTGCACCGTTGTCAAATGTTGGTGCGGTCTCCTTTGACAAAGATGCAATTTACATCGACATCGGACGTGCAAATTATACACAAAAGGCGGACCTTCAAGGGAACGACGAGAGCGGCGATGAAGACGAAGAAGCGTCCGAACCCGAATACGATCCAGAAGAACCAGCGGGTATGCTAAAAGGGTTACAAGGCGTTGACTCCGCCGTCGACGAGAGAATGGAGCGATCTACTTTACGACTTTTCAAGGGAAGCAAGGCGGTCGAAGCCGGATCGGACGATGACGATAGTGACAGCGAAGACGATGTGCCAGAAATCAGCACCGATTCGATGGTTCCCTATCGAGTCCGGGGCGACTCTGATTCGGATGGAAATAGAGCCGAAGAAGACAACGATAGTCAGAGTGGTAATGACGAAAGTGATTCTGACAATAGTGACTCTGACGAGGATGCCGACGACGGTGAAGACGATAGTAACTCCGACAGTAGCGATGAAGATGACTCCGAGGGAGAAAGCGACAATAGTGACTCTGACGAAGAAGAGGGTGATAGCATCGAACGAAATGGAATCTCACAGAACAGCATGTCCTGGAAGACAGGTATTGCTGACAGAGCTCTGGAATCGTTCCTCGAGCGCAAGGGATCGATTGTCAATCTTCAAGAACTTATTTATGGAGTAGACAAAGCAAAGAGTGTCAACGATGATGACGATGGTAACAAGAGCGATTCCGATGACGACGAATTCTTTAAAATCAAAAAATCCTCGAAAACTGTTTCGACTGATTCTAATTCCAAAAATATACTCCAGTCTAAGTCGCTGCTAGGAGAAGAGGATTCTTCCAGACTGATCTCGGGTGAAAGAGAAAATATTAGCATGGAAGCGTGGCTAGAAGAGGGTGGCGATAGCTTGATTGAATCGATTCGAGACAAATTTGTGACTGGAAACTGGAGCAAAGATGGAGAAGGCGACGATGAAGAAGCCTTTGACGATTTTGCTGATCTCGAGACCGGCGAGAAATATGGGCCAAATGGCGAAGTGTTGTCGTCGGATGAGGACGATGACGATGTCGAAGAAGATTCGGATGTCGAAGACAAAGACCCGACAGAGGAAATGACAGATTCAGAGATTCGCGCATATTACGCGGAGAAAAAAGCGAAACAAAAGAAGGGTTTCGATGATGATTACGACGACGACAAGAAATCAAAAGGAATGGGCGAAATGAAAGACGACGAAGCCGAGAACGAATACCTAGAAGCTCTAAAACGACAAAAAGAAGAAAGAATGAAGAAGAATCACGAAGAGTTTGGCAAGGATGGGGAACGGTCACGGCTTCGCCACGAAGGGTTCCGCCAAGGAGTCTACTGTAGAATCCGAATCGATGGTATACCTGCTGCTTTTATCGATAATTACAATCCAGAGCAACCCCTCGTGCTTGGAGGATTGACTCCTCAGGAAACAAAACTCGGGTTTGTCCGCTGCCGATTCAAGAAGCATCGCTGGCACAAAAAGATTCTAAAATGCAACGACCCTCTCGTTTTCAGCATTGGATGGAGGCGTTTCCAGAGCATTCCTACATTTTCTACTGAGGATGACAATGGCCGCCACCGCTACCTGAAGTATACGCCAGAACACATGCATTGTTTCGCAACCTTTTACGGGCCCCAGTGCCCACCGAACACCGGGATCTTGGCAATTCAACGTATGTCGGAGAATATTTCTGGCTTTCGCATTGCTGCTACGGGCGTCGTTTTGGAACTCGATGCCAATTTCCCCGTTGTGAAGAAGCTCAAGCTGGTGGGGACGCCCACAAAAATCTATAAAAACACTGCGTTCGTCACCGGTATGTTTAATAGTGATCTGGAAGTTAGTCGCTTCGAAGGAGCTGCGATTCGTACCGTCAGTGGTATTCGCGGACAAGTGAAAAAGGCCATCCGTGAAGGCCAGCCCGGTTCGTTCCGTGCCACCTTCGAAGACAAGATTATTCGATCCGATATTGTATTTTGTCGTACCTGGATGCCTGTGAAGATGAAGGAATACTACAACCCCGTAACCAATCATTTGTCGTCGAAGGGAACAAGTGGTTGGTACGGAATGAGAAACAAGGCCCTTATGCAGCTGGAAACCGGCACACCAATCGAGGTGAATCCCGATTCTATTTACAAACCAATCGAGCGTCCGGAACGCAAGTTTCGAAAGCTGCGCGTCCCAAAAAAGCTCGAGAGCAACCTGCCTTTTGCCAACAAGCCCAAGGACGATCCCAAAAAGAGAAAGGGTGGCTATCTCGAAAGACGTGCAGTGGTCATGGAGAAGAGCGAAAAGAAGAAGTTCACGTTCCTGCAGGCTGTCAACACGATCCGCAACGAAAAGGTTAAGTCTCGCAAAGAGAAAAAACGATTATCCAGGATCGAAAAAGATAAGAAGAATGCGAAGAAGGAAGAAGCTATTGCCGCCGCACGCAAGGTTAACAGAAAGCGACAGTACCGAGCCGAGGGAAAACGAGAGAAAATGCAAGAAGCGAAGCGCGCAAAAATGTAGGAGGATTTCCGTTGGGTATGCTCTTCATGTCTATTGTTTCTTCCGATTTTCAGCTTCGCACAGGCTCGTGTTTGGCACATTGGGGAACAAAATAAGAGTAACTTTTTAAACGTTGTTTTCAGGTTTTCTTTGCTTTAGATTGAATCTTATATTGACTACGGAAGGAAAGCAATGCCTTTGGGCAACAATACAGAACCAGAGCCAGACGACAGCATACGATTCGCAATGATTCGATTCACGCCTTGCTACTAGGTGAGCTGCGTCCCCTTGATTATTTAGAGGCCGCAACGAGACGCTCTTCGACGACGTCCCAGTTAATGATGCCCCAAATGGCGCTGACGTAGCTTGGTCGGACGTTTCTGTAATCGACGTAATAGGCGTGTTCCCAGACATCGATTCCGAGCAATGGCTTCAAGCCAGTCGTCGCCTCCAACGGATCCTGATTGGGCAGGGCGACCACGTCAATCATCTTGGACTTGGGGTCGAACACGAGCCACCCCCATCCCGAACCCTGAACGGCAATGGTCTTGGCACTAACTTCGGCAATCATCTCGTCCAAACTGCCAAAGCGAGCATTCACGGCGGCTTCGAGTGGACCGCCCTCGGGAAAGGTACTATCGGGGCCAAGGTTCTCCCAAAAGAGGGTGTGGTTGATGTGGCCCCCACCGTTGAACTTGAGGGCACCCTGCAAGGCAATGGTCTCCGAAACGTTTCCCGCGACCATGGCGGAATCGATCTTTTCCATGGTGGCATTCAGGTTTGTGATGTAGGTCTGGTGGTGCTTTGAATGGTGTAGCTCCATGGTTTCCGCGGAGATGGCGGGTTCAAGCGCGTTATAATCGTAGGCTAGATCGGGCAGGACGAACTTCGTTCCGGACAGAGCCGAAAACAGCGCTGCCGAAGACTTTGCGACCTCAGAGGGAAGCTTGGACGAGGACAGATTCACCGCGGAGCGGAGGGCCTTGTCAAGAATGATTTTTCCGCCAGACATTGTAGGTGCTAGTGTTAGGTGATGTGGACTCGCTTTGTGTTCCTGTCAGAGAAGACAGTATGGGACTCGTACGGTAAGTATGATGTGTTGTGTCATGTGAGATGCGAGTTTCGTGAGTTCCCAACGATATTTTGATGGATGTCAACAGACGCCTTCTACTAGTGATGCCGTAGCGACGGAGAGCAGATCTAACTGGAATCTTGCCCTTGATTCTCATTCGCTTCTCTTGCGCGCGGTTGATGGATTGATGGATATTCGTCGCATACGGGACTCGATCTTCTCCGTGACTACATTTCATCAGGAAAAGCTATGATAACTACTACGTAGAACTTGAAGTAATGTTACTACAGAGAAGGCTTTACTTCTAATACGCACTTGACAAAATTAAAATGATAGCATTCCCAAAACAACGATTACTCTTCTACTTCTTTTAAATAATGGGGATTATTGATCGCCTGAGAAGAATTCCTTTCTTTCAACGCGAGCTTTTTTCACAAAGATGTTAGCTGATCGCTCACTTTGATGGCGCTTGCGATCATATCGGCTTCCGTGATGATCTGTTTCCGTGCGATGTCCGATGCCTCGGATTCGAAGTTCATAATATAGTTGTACCTTCGTTCTTCCGATAGCGTGGCGAGATAGATCAGGTACAAAGTTTCTTCCGCGCTGACGTACGCAGTGTGGTTCGTAGATCGGACGGGTGCGTTGTCGCAAAGATCGTAGGCCGTGCAGCCCTCTTTCCGACGGTTGTTATCGTTGTTGCCTTCGATCGATTCCGGGATCGCTTCGTTCATCGTCCGGTCTTTCAGTTCCGCGAGCAATCTTCGTATCTGGCGGAGCAATTCCTTTTCCTTCTCGTTGTGTAGCCGTGTGGGCACAATGATTTCCCACACGGATATGGGTCCATGTGTATCTTTGCACCAATAAGACCGCACGGCAGAGTATGGGATATCTCCTTGTTCATACGTTTCTTCCCGCAAGGACTTGATGTATTCTTTATAGAGTTGCCGCCGACCCTTTTGGTTCATTTTGGATCGAAACAAAATAGAGGCAGGCTGCGTTGATAGCTGATTGGTGTTTGTCGGACCAGATGATTTGTTATCACCATGCGTTGTTGCCATTGTATCAATAGCTATGTTGTCTGTCTTGTGTTCTGGAACAAAGGATAGCAATGCATAGCCGCGTGGTTTGCCCGAAGATTTGTCAAGTGGTTTCATGGCCTCGTAAATCAAAGGAAGCTTCGTCCAATGAGCACCATATTTGAATCTCGCAGTGTCCAGAATCAAGACGGAATCTGACTCCTTGTCATATGCAGCAAGCGGAGAAAAATGACCATCTCCTGTTTGTCCCAAAGTTTTTCGGCTGTAGGATACAATCAAGCATTCCAAAAGTTGGTTCTCGTCTTCCCCGTTGTGTTCCAATTCGTCTTCTTCTTCCACCGATTGTTCAATACATGCTCGTTCTACCACTCGTCGAAATTCGTTCAAACTGAACGTCTCGTCGCAATAACGTGATTCTACCGACAATCCTTGGCAGTGTGCGAGACATTGAAAGTCTCTTAAAGTGATCCCGTCCTTTTTGATTTCTTCTAGGTCCACACAACAATTTAGCATGCTCTCTGTATACCATCGCCAAACACCTTTCCATTGCTGGCCAGGATCAACCGCAAGGGCATTCAGGGTCATTACCACTGAAAGTCGAGGACAATAGTAATCAAAAGATTGACCATGCGTAGTTCCGGATTTAGAAACACAAAACGATTATGACTGAAAAGTTCGAACAAACAACCAAAATGACCCGATACTCACGAGTGCTGACACCACAATACGCAGGCTCTGTTTGAGTGTGGTGTTGTTCAATGAGGTTGTAAAATGATTTCAAACCATTGTTCTCAAGAGCACTCCTGAACAACTTCTTGCCCTGCCGCGAAGCAAAGGCAACGCATGTGTCGGGAAGTTGGCGTTGGTAGAAGGAAGGCATCCTGAGCACCTCGTGAGACGGTTCTTTGGGCGTACATTTTCCGGCATCGCAAGTTTCGCTCTTGGGAGACATGACGGAGGCTAGCTCTGATATGAGTGGCGAGACTACAACAAATAAAGCAGTAAAAGGCAGATGTCATTCGATATGATAGAAGTCTGATCAGTGTTGATGTCGCAAAAGTTAAACATTCGCGGTATTCAGAGGAAGACTATATATCCCTTCCTATGCAAGTTCTCGGATCAAGTCTGCATTTGATGAGAAAGAGAATGTTGTTGCTTGCGTTCCTTGAAAGAGTCAAGAGAAGTGCAGTAACAAACTGTTTGAGTAGCAGTGTCGAACCAAATGCACTCAAGGTCGTACTCGACAAGTACACAAAGAAAATGTAACTATTTTTGCAACCATGTAGGATGTAGTACATAATATACGTAGGTGCACCAAGCCAGTGCGTGGTGCGTACTGTATCAGGGTGATTGATGAGAAGTACTAACACTGTCACGCACAAGGCAAATTCTATGGAAAAAATGCAAGTCGGGAGAATTAACACCAACACGAAAACACCAACACCGACAACACTGATACCAACACTCCTTTCAGCTAATAAGATGGTCCTTTTGTTGAGGACAACAACACAGCACAGTTAACATAGTACTAGTATACAGCCACTTGTTCTATTAGGGGGACAAGTAGTTAGCAAATAAGAAGGCGTCCGTAACATCAGCGACAAGCCTCCGTATCAGCATCCTGCGTATCAGCATCCTCCGTATCAGCGGATCCTCCGTATCAGCGGATCCTCTGTATCAGCATCCTCCGTATCAGCATCCTCCGTATCAGCGGCTCATATCAGCGGCTCGTATCAGCGGACACCGTATCAGCGGACACCGTATCAGCGTACACCGTATCAGTGAGCTTCCGTATCAGTGAGCTTCCGTATCAGTGAGCTTCCGTATCAGCAGCTCGTATCAGCGGCTCATATCAGCATCCTCGTCCGTATCAGCATCCTCCATATCAGCATCCTCCAAATCAACGGCTTGTATCAATGGCTCGTATCAACGGCTCGTATCAACGGCTGGTATCAACGGCTCGTATCAACGGCTGGTATCAACGGCTCGTATCAACGGCTGGTATCAACGGCTCGTAT